CCACCGAATTGGCTATAATTTAGTATTTCGAGTTCTTAATATGTACCAAATCTCTCCACAAAAAATTATAAACATATGTGAATTTTTTCGGATATCCCCCATATAAGGGTACCCCCCAATTTTCGGAATTTTGGGGTTCTTGAGCGCGTTTTTCAACCGAATACGCTGAAATTTGGTACATTGGGTTCCTAATAGGTTCCAAATCTCTCCACCAAAAATTATGAATATTGGTCCATTTTTTCGGATAGCCCCCATATAAGGGTACCCCCAATTTTCGGTATTTGGGGGTTCTTGAGCGCATTTTTCAACCGAATTTGCTGCAATTTGGTAATTTGTAGTCGTATATGGTAACAAATCTCTCTACCAAAAATTTTTAATATTCACCCCCTTTTTGGGGGTAGTCCCCATATAACCCCCTTTTTATACCCTCCACCATAATTGGAGGGTATATTAGATTTTGTCATTCCGTTTGTAACTCATCGAAATATTCATTTCCGACCTATAAAGTATATATATTCTTGATCAGGGTAAAATTCTAAGACGATCTAGAACCCATGTCCGTCCGTCCGTCCGTCTGTTGTAATCACGCTCTCTTCTGAAGGAATTGAGATAGGATGCTGAAATTTTGCATAGGGTTGTCTTTTGTCTGCAGGCAGGTCAAGTTCGAAGATAGGATATATCGGTCCACGTTTAGACATAGCTCCCATATAACAGTACCCCCATTTTTTGGTATTTTGAGTTTCTTGGGCGCGTTTTTCAACCGAATACGCTGAAATTTGGTACATTGGGTTCTTATTGGGTACTTAATGTCCCCACAAAAAATTATCCGATATATCCTATCTTCAAACTTGACCTGCCTGCAGACAAAAGACAACCCTATGCAAAATTTCAGCATCTTATCTCAATTCCTTCAGAAGATAGCGTGATTACAACAGACGGACGGACGGACGGACATGGCTAGATCGTCTTAGAATTTTACCCTGATCAAGAATATATATACTTTATAGGGTCGGAAATGAATATTTCGATGAGTTACAAACGGAATGACAAAATTAATATACCCTCCATACTATGGTGGAGGGGTAAAAGGGGGTTATATGGGGACTACCCAAAAAATGGGGCGAATATTATGGTAGAGAGATTTGTTACCATATACGACTACAAATTACCAAATTGCAGCAAATTCGGTTGAAAAATGCGCTCAAGACCCCCAAATACCGAAAATTGGGGGTACCCTTATATGGGGGCTATCCGAAAAATGGACCAACGGTACCTCCTAATTTTCAGTATTTTGGGGGTTTTGATTGTATTTTTCCACCGAATTGGCTATAATTTAGTATTTCGAGTTCTTAATATGTACCAAATCTCTCCACAAAAAATTATAAACATATGTGAATTTTTTCGGATATCCCCCATATAAGGGTACCCCCCAATTTTCGGAATTTTGGGGTTCTTGAGCGCGTTTTTCAACCGAATACGCTGAAATTTGGTACATTGGGTTCCTAATAGGTTCCAAATCTCTCCACCAAAAATTATGAATATTGGTCCATTTTTTCGGATAGCCCCCATATAAGGGTACCCCCAATTTTCGGTATTTGGGGGTTCTTGAGCGCATTTTTCAACCGAATTTGCTGCAATTTGGTAATTTGTAGTCGTATATGGTAACAAATCTCTCTACCAAAAATTTTTAATATTCACCCCCTTTTTGGGGTAGTCCCCATATAACCCCCTTTTTTATATTAAAATAGTTATCTGATTTGTTCCGCGTTTTGAGTTTGGTTCTAAGTCTCTTTTGTAATCATTTCACCTGCGGAGGATAGAGAGATAAACAATTAGAACGTAAGGTTCGATAATTAACTATAGCCGCATTTAGACCTAGCCCCTGATTGGAAGTTCGAGAATTTGAACTAAGCTTGGAAGAAATAATAAGATGGGCAAAGTTTGGATGAAATCTAAATTTTCTGAAACGGATTTGGTCCAAAGAAACATGGGGTCTAGAACCAATATTTCGATGAGACACATTTTCACCGTGTTAAAGTCTATACACCCTCATTAGCCATAAGGCTGAGAGTATAATTATCCTTTAAAATTTTCTAAAATTTTTAATTATGGTTTACATAATCCGTTTTTAGAAATGTCGGTATAAGTCCACTTTTTGGTATGTTCCCTATATTTTCATTTCTAGTACCTGTCAATATATCTATGGTGGAGGGTATCCAAAGTTCGGCCCGGCCGAACTTACCGCTTTTTCACTTGTTTATTTTTAAGATTTTAAATGGGCTGGTAAATGAATACCAATGCTTGTTAAGGTTTGTAACTTTGCACATATATATTTGAAGATTTAAAAAGGAAGAAAAATAATTTACAAAAAATTTTTGTTGTTGTTTTGTTGTTGTTTTTTGTGATCAAAGAAAACTCCTTATTTTTGATGGCGGGCATGATAACTCCTCACTGGAACATCGGAATCCGAAAATTCCAACGGTGTTAGAAAGAGTACATGTCTGGCTCTCGTATGAACTAGGATTATTGACTTCGCTCTAAAATTAACAAAATGGCGGACCTTTGAAAAAATATTCTTTGAAAAACGCCGATTTTTTACCAAAAACCAAGTTAAAAAATAAGGAAGATCTTCACCGATTGGCTTTATCCTAGTTCATACGATAGCTATACACTCACAGAGAAACGTGTAAAAATTTGCAATCGATTGGGTTATTAGTTTTTGAGTTATCGTGCCCGCCATTCACAAAAAAATGTTTAGAGAAAAACGCGTTTAAAGTTTGAGAAGCCCTTCAGCCGTCACTTGATGCTGACACAATAAATCGGTTATATCTTCAAGAGTTCTTGAGATTTTTACTTGAAATTTTGCAGGGACATTCTTGAATTAGTGTAGATTGGAATTAAGTCAACAAAAATTTTGACCCCGAGAATGGGGGGGGTCCCCTTAAGCGCGTTTTTCAACCGAATTCGCTGAAATTTGGTATATTGGGTTCTTATTGGGTACCAAATATCTCCACTAAAAATTATAAATATAAGTCCATTTTTTTCTGGTAGCCCCCATATGAAGGTACCCCCAAATTTCGGCATTTGGAGGTTGTTGAGAGCGTTTTTCAACCGAAATCACTGAAATTTGGTATCTTGTAGCCGTATATGGAAACAAATCTCCCTACCAAAAATTATTAATAGTCAACCCCTTTTAGGCGTAGTCCCCATATAACCCCATTTTTTATATTAATATAATTATCTGATTTTTCCGCGTTTTGGGTTTGGTTCTAACACTCTGTTGTAATCATTTCACCTGCGAAGGATGTCGAGATAATAAAACTAGTACGTACGGTTCGATAATGAACTATATGTGAACTATAGCCCGAATTTAGGCTTAGCCGTAGCCCCTGTGTGGGAGGTACCAGAAGGCATGGACCGATATTCCCCAAATTGGGACTTGAACTAAGTTTGGAAGACATAATAAGATGGGATGAAATCAAATTTTTCTGAAACGGATTTGGTCTCATGGGGTCTAGAACCAATATTTCGATGAGGCACATTTTCACCGTGTGAAAGTGTATACACACTAATTAGCCATAAGGCTGAGGGTATAATTTTCTATTAAAAATTATTTCAGTAGTGTTGGCGGTTTATTTGGGATACCATTTGTATTTTGTTTTTGCAAAATAGTCAGGCTGAATCCCAGCTTGTTGTTTTTATAAAAAACAACTATTTATTAGTGGGGAATGTATGGCATTGTTTGCCATGGTATTGTTTGTAAATGCCTTGTTAACCTCGAAGTGAGGCTCCAGCGAAATTCTCATGCAGTTTATGTCGTTGGTCAGCTAAGTACTTCGCTTTGTTACAAGAGACATTTGGGTATGAAAGGTTTTTTGTACAGAAGCAATAGCTTCTGGGAGAATATCCCAACAAAAAACTAAGGGAACTGATGAGGATCAGTGGCGTGATCCGAAACTATAGTCTTCCCTGCCTTACCCCTCGGCAAACAATGCCATACATTCCCCACTAATAAATAGTTGTTTTTTATAAAAACAACAAACTGGGATTCAGCCTGATTATTTTGCAAAACATTAAAAATTATTGTTTACATAATCGGATTTTAGAAATGTCGGTATAGGTCCATTTTTTGGTATGTTCCCTATATTTTCATTTAAGTATCTGTCAGTATATCACTTGTTTAAGTTAATGAAGTACACGACTTAAAAAAAAAACAAAAAAAACCAACAAAATGCGGCAGTTATTTAACTTGCAATTTTAGTTGCTTTAGTATTGGCAATAGGTGCATACAACCATTATTACGTGTTTTTTTGTGCATATTTTTAACTGAATTCGTTTCAATTTGATATTTTGAGATCTCATTTTCAGTTAAATTTTACATCACCACTTTTTGTTGAATTTATTGTATACAAGAACACTTAAATGTTGTTGAATATTTCCCTCTCCTTTTCGGGCTTAATTTTATTTACTTGATTTTTACAATAAAATTGAAAAATATATATTTTTCACATTTTGTAATTATTTGATTCAAAGTAGCCACATGCACTTTATGGGCAAATTGTAAACGCTAATTGTTTACATGTGTGTATGTTATTAATTTGATAATATAATCAAAAAATATTTAATGTTATAAATATGAATTGTTTATGAATAATGCAATCCAAAGGGAAATATACGTTATAAAAATTTGAAATAACACTTTTTCAGTATTTTGATTGTTTTTTGTTCATCATTTCTTTAATTTATTAATATGTAGGTATGTTAATTTGAGAATAGTTCATAGTTGCATAGAAAAATAACAATTTTTTTCAAAATATGTAATATGTATAATATATGAAATCATCCGTTTTTATTATTATATATAATTTATGTTGGTGTAACTGTCTGTTTTTTTTTTTTCAATCAACTACTATCACAATATGAAATGTTTTTTTTTTTTTGTTTTTATTAAATATATTTTTGATGGATGAGCTTTGAGGCGACACACCCACACACCCACCTTACATAATTACGCATTTTTTCCGTGCCACCGAGCCTTCGCCCTCGTTCATGGCCATTGTTTTTGAGCGCATTAAATTCAAATCCGTTCGTATGCTCGGCCTTCGGGCATTTGGCGTAACCACACCACAGGCATCGCTAAAACGTCGCTTTATGGAAAGGGCATTCTTCTTTGTACCACCAGCCGATGAGTGCGGTGGCAATGTTGATGGTGCTCCAAATACAGTAACCACACGTCGATGGTGATTAGGTGCCATTTCCAAGGGTAAATTTGCAGCAGTAAATAGTTCGTAGAACAATTCATCAATGTGGTAATTTTGTTTTGCCGAACATTCCACAAACACACAACAGTTGTCTTGACCCGCAATATAACCCATAACTTCATCTAGTTGCACAGTCCTGTAAATTGATTATGACAAATTGTATATTTTTGCTATGTATAACACGATGGCTGATATTACCTTTGTTCCTTGTCAGATTTATTACCCGCCAACACCATGGGAATTTTTGGCAAAGCTTTCTTTTTAAAACCGCTGCCAGGATTCAGTGCTGCCCATTTCGTTTCCAGAATGTTTTCTCTTAGGCGTACAACTTCTTCGAATGACTCTCTTGAATCCATGCTAAATACCAATATAAAAAGATCACCTGCAGGAGGAAGAATGGAATTTTATTTGGAAGAATTTAGTAGTAGCTTCAATTGTATGTATAGAGAGGTGTCCACATTATTATTATTACATTAATATTGCATATTATTATTACATTGGCTTAATTTTCTACATAGCATTTAAAATCTATATATATAAAATAGAAAAAAATTTGTTTGTTTGTATGTTACCGATAGACGCCAAAACCGCTGAACAGATCTTAATGAGATCTAAACTGTATGTCGGGACATGCCTTGAAAGTAACATAGGCTATATAAGCTTTTAAAATTTCGCGTGGTTGCGGAGTTATATCATCAATAGTAAACATACCTCAAAATTTCTGAACATGTAATATGCGTTTATCTTAAGAACGGTTACCGATACTGTTTTAAAAATTTGCCTGAATAACGAAGGTGTGAATACACACAATCCATACAAAAATGGGCTTGGTACGATCAACGAAAAATTCACTTTTTACTGCATATTAAAAATCAGCATATTGAAAATTGAATATATTTTGTTTGTAGACTCTAAAAATGCTGAAAAGATTTGAGTGATATTTTCACAGAACGTCATAACATGCCCTGGGAATAACATATGCTATATAAACTTCTAAGATTTCCCGAGGATGCGTTGTTATAGCATCGAACGTAATCATAACTCAAAAATTATGAACATGTAATTTGTGTATATCTTAAGTACGGTTACAGATACCGACTTCAAACTATTGATAAGTAGCGTGAGTGTAAATACGTATCATCCACACAACATGACCGCGGACAAGGGAAAATGCACACCTCATTGCATTTAAATCTATACGTTGAAAATAGAAAACATATTGTTTGTGGACTTAAAAACCACTAAACAGATTTTGCTAAAATGTTCATAGTAAGTCAAACGATCCCACGATTTGATAACTTCAGCAGGGGCAGCGAAGCCCCACTGGTCCCGCTAGTAGGTTATAATTGCAGACCAAGTTTTTAATCTTATTATTAGACGCAATGACAAACCCTAATGAGATAGGTTCAAATCGTTTCAGAATTAGATAGATCTCTCATGTATACTTTTTTGCGATGTGTTGTAAATGGTGCACCAAATGTATAACGTTTATCCGATTGCAATGATTGGTTTAAGTTTCGTTCAAATCGGTATAGATATAGATTTACTTGTCCGATTTCCAACAAATCCGAAACAAAATCGAAAATATCGATTTTATTATCTGAAAATCGTCCTTAAATATTTTCAGATCCTAATCTGTCTCCGATAAATAATGACTTTTACAATTTCAAAATTATCAGTATTCGTAAATATAGGGTTTCTGTGCAAGAATCTGGTTGTTCACCTTTGCTAGATTCTTGCATGAAATGAAATAAGATGCAATTTAATGGATATGGAGTTAAAAGGAGTATATGTTTTACAAAAATATTTCACATTCCATTTGACGGAATACATGTGAACTCAAAAATGAAAAATGAAGGTATTATCAAAGTCCCGAATGTGTCGATTCCTCGCAGTTCTCAGGACAAGGACTGTCGTACGGCACATTATGACATATTTTGCATTTAAATCTAAACCTGCATCCATATCCAGCGCATGTACTTGGAAAGGGTGCGGTGTACAGCAATTTTTGGCTGACTAAATTTATTATACCCTACACAACTATGTTGTCAGGGTATTATAGCTTTGTGCAGCCCCAAAAGTTTGTAACGCCGCGAAATATTGGTCCTAGACCCACCTTTAAGTATATCGATCGTCATATCTAGACTAGCTGAGTCGATCTAGACATGTGTGTCTGTCTGATTTTTTGGTCGCTCCAGAAGCCGCAATTATGGCTCAAACACCGCGAATTTTTGCATGGAGAAGGGCATCTGGTCAAAGAATAAGCATGCCTGTTTTGATAAAGATCGGTCAATATTTAGCGGGTCAAATAGACCCTGACTTTTGTGTGAAAAATTACAAAGTTTGTATATATTTGCCCCTGAAGGACCTAGACCCAAAAAGTTGATAGTATGTTCAAGAGGAGTGGTTGACCTTTAAATTGATACCAATTATATGGTCGTATGTACTCAAATGTGGCTACACTTAAATATTTACAGGTTCTTAAATATTTACAGGTGACATTATTTAGTAACCCAAAACCACACTAGACGGCGGAAATATAGCGCTGATCGCTTTGAAAATTTCCATGAGATTCCAGTTATGGTCAAGGACAACGCCTATAACATTCGGTGATGATCAGATAATAATTTTGGGATGAAGTGGACCGAAAACTTAACATTTTGTGTTGTTGTTTTTAGTCGGTCTATAGGCCACAGTTGAAAGCCCAACATCGCAATATAACCCACGCTATAGAGAATCTGGACAAGTACAGCCCTCGTCTACTGAATATTAGTAATATATGTTGACCTTTAGTCAGGTTCATCGAAGGTGCAAATAACGCAAAGTTAGATTTTCGTGGAAGTATACTGCTCCGCTCACTTGTTACTAGGTGAATATGTTATTAAAAAAATTGTCATCGAGAAAGAAGTAAAAACTTTGTCAAGTTTGCAATATAAATATCGAATAGTGGGGTGTTCCGTTATATCGTGGGTATCCCGAAACATGGGCCAATACTGAACATTCCTCATAGGTAAATCTGATAACCAAATTGAATTCAAAATACCAGTTTACATCTGATTCTTTTAATGGCGTTTTTAGAATTTCCAAAATACCGAAAAATCAGGGGTACCAAAATAACTTTCAGCAGGAAGATTTAATACCCAATGAGTTCCAAAATACCGAAATTCAGTAAGAAGATTTGATACCCAATGACAACCAAACATAGCAATTTATAGCCAATTCGGTAGGAATCCAAACGAGTCAAAAATCGCCATTATACCGAAATATCAAATATTGCGATCCCTATCTTGATTTCAATAGACAGAAAAAGGGCACGCATAAATCGACATGGTATTTTATTCTGATCAAAAATATATATAAACTTTATGGGGTCTCCGGTATATATTGCGAGGTGTGGAAAACGGATTAACAAATTTAATAAACGTTACTATTTGGTGCGATCTGTGGCCCGAAGGTTTGATTGGAGCTTAAGTCTTGGACAACGGCGATGATGTCATCGTCAATTCGGAGCGCTGTTTAAGAATTCGAAAAAAATCTGATATTGATTTGAATTCTCATTTGGTTTCCAATATGACGACCATAAATTGCCCATATTAATTTCCGTTTTGATATAACTCCCATATTACTATACCATAATTATTCGGTATTTTTAATATTTCAGACTTCTTTCTAAACCGTCGCCCTTTATTTTCGATATGTTCAAGGTTCTATTCAAACCATAGCGATACGTATAATCCTGAAAGCTACGAACGATTTGAGGTATTTTAAATGTCCATGGTGGAGGGTATAAAAAGTTCAGCCCGGCTTAAATTGTATTTATTATGCAAGAAACATTTTACATATCCACCTTTAAAACTTGTAAGTTAAAATATGGAACCAAAACATCACCGTAAATAAATCCTAAATTAATTAGGAATACACGTTGGTCTCGTATTCGGGATAACAAAGAAGTAGCTGAAATCCTTAAATGGCCCAATAAAAGTTAAATTTCAAAATACTTCCCAATAACAGCCATGAATGCTTGCCATACGATACATTTTAATATAATCAAAAGCAAATGTAGTCATAGTGCTATCGAATACGAATACGATGAGGACATAATTTCTTATCTTTAGCACAATTTGGCATATGATAAATGTTAATTGGTTTAATAAATAAAATAACATTGTACTAGAAAAGGAGGCGTATGCCTCATTCATGATAAGTATTTGAATTCATGTGGAACATGTACAAGAATTTTATAGCATGTTCTTGTTTTTGCTATTTATGAATTTTGTTTAGAAAAAGGCACACTTTGCAAAAAAAAAAATGCTATAGAATGTAGAATTTCGTAGATAGGTATTCCAAAGGTCTATGTGTATTAGGTCATCCAGTAGGGTCAGCAGAAAACTTTTTTTCAAAATATATTGAATTTGAAAAAAAATAACACTGTGCGACAAATTTGAATTTTTTTGATAATTACCGGGAAATTCCAACAGATTATAAAAAAAGAGGGGCTAAAAAAAGAAGACACGGGTATCGGCGTTTTGAAAGTTTACGTCGGGATGTAACCTAAAAAGGCGGGACAATATTCTCCCTTTTCAGGAATTTTGATAATTTTCCAATTATGATTTCTTGAAATCCTTGCATTTTAGGTATATAGTGTCTTCGGCAATGTTGACAAAATATCGAGGAATATTTTGGTATGCAACTTTAACCCTCAACCGACTCATTAAAGTGGTCTTTTCGGTCCCTTTTTCCAGGAGTGATTGAAAACTCATTCAAAACGGGGTTAAAGCTGCTCAGAATATTCTAAAGAAATGTTCGCCATAAAGTTTTACTATAAGTCTCAGAATAGACTAAAACTCAAAAATCAGCCTAAACGTCAAAAATCTTAAAAAACAAAAACTCATTACTAGTTTTTACCCATTATTACTAGTTATTACTAGTTTTTACCCATTTTTCTCACAAGGTGTCGTTTTTAGTATAAGGGACAAAAATATTCTCCATCAATTTTTAGCATAAGTCTCTGAACAAGAGAAATATGTATATATAATGTATATACCAAATATAGTCATACATTTTGAACCAAAACGGGGTTAAAGCTAATTTTCGAATTATGATTTCTTGAAATCCTTGCATTTTAGGTATATAGTGTGTCTTCGGCAATATTACTGACAAAATATTGGGGAATATTTTGGTATGCAATTTTAACCCTCAACCAAATATTCAAAATGTTTTTGTATTTTTTTGTCAAAGACATTTCCCAGTATTTTTCGACTAAGTGCATTAAAGTAACATGAAACTTGATTTTAGGTATATAATGTCAAAGAATAAACTATTCTACGTCAAAATCCACTTCAAGTCTCAGAATAAACTATAAATTTATATTCAATAGTTTTT